CCCCCACCCAGGGCTGGACAAGGCCACGGCTCTAGCCCTGAGGGTCTCGGCCGGGCGCAGGAGGCCGTGGCGCTCCTGGGCAGGGCTGTGCGCAGACTCGCTGCCACGGGGTGTCAGGGCTGCTGTTCCCTGGCCGCTGGCGTGGGAAATGCTGGCCTGTTTGCCAGGCTCTCGCCTGGTGGGTGCCCTTCCTGCCGGGCTCCTCCTGCCAAGGAGCGAAGGCCTTGGGCACACCTTCCCGAGGGGCTGGGAGCCTAACTCTTGAGTCTGGAGGGGACTGTCCCTCGGTGGAGAGCAGCTCACGCCCGGGTCGCACTTCCACGCAGTGAGGACCAGCCGGCAGGGTTTGCCGGTAGCCCCCCGCCCAGACCCCATCGCCTGGGCACCTCTGATGCGACGTTCTCGGGACCCGTCCGGGGCGGAGGTGCCTGGCACTGCTGTGTGGGAGGTGAGCCGGGCCGAGGCCTGGCAGCCTGGAGGTCGCTGCAGCGGGAGGCATTGCCTCCCAGCTCCCCGGGAGGGACGGGCCACACAGTGACCTGGAGGCCTCGTGTCCTCGCCGAGCTCGTGAAGCGGCTCTTGGACCTCCGCACAGGCGACGTGGGGCTGGGCCCTGGTCAGTGTCACGGTGAGTCACCGCACGGCCTGGGAGTGTGGGACCCGCTGTGCCGGAGGCTCCGTGAGGACCAGTGAGCGGGGCGCAGGGGGATGGGCACCGCCGGCCCGGTCCGCAGACTCCGTGCGTGGCTCTTCTGTCTCCTGCCATCTGTCAGGGTGCTTCACTTTTGCTGGGTCCCCAGGGACAGCAGGCAGGTCTGGAGCCGGGACACTCAAAGGCACGGCCGCCCTGTTGGCAGAGCCGTCTCTGGTCTGCAAGCACTGCCTTCCTGCGCGTGGACCACGCTGCCCTGGTCAGCGCTGGGGCTGCCAAGGGGAGCTCCAATCACGGCACCAGTGGCCAGCTCCCCAGGCTGTGACGCCCTCACAGGCAGGTGCCCGCCACGCACGCTGCTGGGAGTCCACGTGCCTGGACCCCACGGGGACGCATGGAGTCGGGAGGAGCTCAGAGCACCCTGCCCACAGAGGAGCAGCAGTCAGGGAGCCGGCCTACCGGGGCATCCTGGAGCGAGAAAGCAGGGCCCAGAGCTAGTGGCAGGTCTCCGTCTGCCCGGGCCTGGCCATTTCCCACCACAGTCCGCTTTGGCTCGGGCTGACGCTCAGCAAGCAGGGCCCTCGGCCCTCTCCCTGATGGAGGCCATCTCCTCCCGGGCTCTCCCTCCTGGGCTCAGGGTAATAAGAAACTGCTCGAAACCCGGGAAAGACTGCTGGGCTCCCTGTGCGTCCGAACACGTCTCACCTCCACCAAGACCGTCCCGTGAGGCTGCCTGCTGCGCGGCCAGCGGTGGAGCCTTTCATGCCCGGTGGTGGGTGGAGGGTAGGAAGGCAGAGTTGGGGTGAGCAATGGATGGAGTGATATGGGCTGGAGAATGGGGGAGTGGCCTGCGGCAGGCATAGCCCCAGCCAGCCCTCCTGGAGGTCCCGCCTCCCCTCCCCACTCCCCCCACCCACCTCAGTG